TCAGAAAAAATAATAGTTCATTTCCCTAAAGGATCAATCTCTTCAGGTAAAAGATTGATCCATCCCTAAAGGATCGATACATGGCTGATTTTTAGCTACCATGATGTAGGGGATTGATCTCCCATTAAAAAGGATCAACCCCTAGAGGCTAAAATCATGTAAATATTGTAAAATTGCATTCATTTAAGCCCTGAAGTGTCTCCTAAGTCAATGGATGATCTCTGAACCTTAAAATGAATTCAAATCGATCTAGAACTTGATTTCTTAATTAATACTTGGTTTTAAGTTCGATTTACTTGAGATTTATTATGTCAATCTTTAATAAAACTAATTATATAATGAATCCTTTAATTTAATATTTGCAACTTAAATGCATATTTTGAAATATTTACTTTTAATCCCTATATTTTGTATGTGCAATTAGGTGTCTAATTGAAGTATGGTTCCTTTGTAAATTTAACCATTATTAATTCATATATGGTAAAATGTATTAAACTATTTAACTCTGAAATTTATGTTGATCTATCATTTGTGGTGTGAAATGTTCATTTTTCCCTTATATGACTAAATTGTTAATTAAGCTAATTTGGAAGCATGACTTGGTTGTAAATAATTATATATGGTGTCTGTTATAATTTGTTGCATGATTAAGCATGATTGTTTGTCTATTTTCTGCGTCTTTTACTTAGTAAGCATGATTAAGATCCGTGTGTATCTGATTCACTTCAGAATCTAATGTGATATTCATATTACTCGGGTCATTCTTTATGGCCGGGTATTAGGTGTTACATTTTGTGGTATCAAAGTTATGGTTATTTCATTTATGAATGTGTTTCAGGGTTTATTTGTGAACCGAATTGCCTAGTAATTTTTTTTTTCAAGAACTTGCTTATGATTACCCGATGCTTCTCTCACTCAAAGTTTGTTTATATGTGTAACTTGTTATGTTAATTGATTTGCAACAGTCATACATTATGAGTGATTTATTTGATCGCATTCATATGTATTGAATGTGTGGGTTGTTTGATTAGGTAGTCTAGTTAGGACTAGTGACATCGGTATGGATGTTATTGATGTCTTGGGAAGTAGTACCTTAGTTAATAAGGTACATACGAGGTGTCCGTTGGTGGTCCAAAGTGATGTGTTTCTCGTCGATTTGATGGAATTTCATTATGAGGCTTCGACGTTATTATGGGTACGGATTGGTTGTGTGAGCATAAAGTGCATCTAGAATTCGAGTTGAGTGCAATTCTGAGGATTCTAGACAATTTGGATATGATGGTTATTGGTGGGATATTCAAATTCCTTTCGTATGTCGTTTCTGCACTAAAAGCAAGTAAATTGCTAGATCGTGGTGGTGAAGCATTTTTGGCTTATTTGCTTAATCCAGGTTATATAAAGTTGAGAGTGCAAGATATTCAGATCATTATAGATTTTCCTGAGGTGTTTCGGAAGAGATTTTGGGTACGTCACCAGGTTGTGAGGTTGAGTTTTACTTGGAGAATTATTTTGATTAAGCTTTTGTGTTTGTTACTCTTTGTCTCATGGCATCGAAGGAGTTAAAAGAGTTGAAAACCCAGTTGCAAGATTGTTAGATCACAATTTTATACTAACAAGTATGTCTATGTGGTGTGTACCCAATGGAGAAAGATGGTGATAAACATTTTGACAATAAACCCCTTTGTTAATGAAACATATGCTATCAAATGAGGCCAGTGGCCGATGCACTAACCCCATAGGGGTCAAGTACATCCCATTATTTTAGAAAAGTGGTTAAATTTAACTTAATGTGTTAAGGAAAAAAGAAAAAAAATTACAATTTTTGCATACCCATTATTTTTAAGAAAAGAAAATTAAAATTTTGGACTCCCATTCTTAGATTTCTGGATCCGCCTCTGAATGAGGTCTATACATATCCTAATGGGAATGAAATGACAATTGGAACTCTCTAGAGGGAGATGTGCTTAAGGAAATATTTAATACGGCCTATGATAAAATGAACCTCTGTTTTTGGAATTTTCGTCAAAAATTCAGGGTTTAATTATGGCATCCAACATTTACTCTAAGGGGGTGTTTGGTTCAAGGATTGTGGGATTCCCATGTGATGGGAATCCCACATTCCCATGGGATGGGAATCCCACATTCCCATGTTTTGTTGGCCGGAAATCTCATTTCCGGTAATGTTTTATTACCAATAGTAGATTTTTTTAGGTATATTACCGGGAATGTCATTACCTCCATTCCCTTAGGTATTGTAACATTACCAGCATTTTGGACTAAAATGCCCTTAAATTTTTATTTTTTTTCAAAAATATCCTTCTTCTGTCATTGAATAATAAAAATTCTACGAAGGTTAAATTACAAATTTATCCTTAAATTATTTTAGATTTACAAAAAAAAGTATATAATTAAAATTTTATATGAAGTTCAGGGATTAAAAAAAAATTACCCTTTCATTAAACCTTTTTTATATTTTTAATTTTGTAAAAAAATTATATAAATATTATAATTTAATTTTTAAAGAAAATATAAATAACATTTGTAATTTATAATATAATAAGGACAATTTGGTCAAATATACATTCCAATAATCTTTTATTCCTTTAACCAAACACGGTAATCTTACATTCCTGCTAAACCAACCAAACACAAAATACAACATTCTCAGTAATCCTATTCCCTGGTAATCTTTTATTCCCACTGGTAATCTTACATTTCGTGAACCAAACGCACCCTAACTCTTTTGTAGGGACCTAGAAATGGTAAAGGCTCGCGCATGTAAACAAGCTATCAACTTGGCTCGGGACCTAGGGTTCTGCAAGGTCGTAGTTGAAGGTGATGTAATATTTGTTATTAACAAAGTAAATGACCATACATAGGATTAGTCTAAAATCAATGCAATCATGCAACAAGTTAAGTAATGGTTAAGGATTTCGAGGACTTATCTTTCCTCTATGCAAATCGATGACATAACAACACAACACATATCTTGGCCAAAGAAGGTGAATCCTCCAACACACAAAGGGTATAGATTGAAGAAGCTCCTAAAAGAGTTCAAGGAGTGGTGAACTACGATAAAAGATGACTTGATCCACCTGATTACTAAAATATAACGTTTCGTTTTCAGAGAGCATTCACTCTTAAACTCCAAAACAAAAAGAATTTCATTTGCTTAAATGAGAATAGCTGACCAATTCCTTCATGTAGAGGAAAAGAAGAGCTTTTTGTGTTTTCAAGGGTTCATTTGTTTCACAGAAAACATTTTCCAGAAAATGTTTTCCTCACTTTTCAGTGTTTGGTTAGAGGAAAATAGATTAGTCAATGTAAAACATTTTCCTGGTCAATGTAAAACATTTTCATGGTCAACAGAATTTCCTTTGCATTTTTTGGAAAATGACTTACGATTTAATTTTCGGTAAGTCATTTTCCAAACTTTTCACTTCAAAGAATAAATACTCAAAATAATATTATTTTATAAATTTAATATTAATATGATATTTTTAGTATCATTTTAATAAAAATATTAATTATTAACATATTGAAAATATATTTATTAATATTTTTAATAATATAATATAAAAATAATATTATTACAATAATATACTCATTTATATTATAATAATATATGATACTATTATATTCTTATTTTAATAATATGTAATAAAATATTAATAAAAGTTATATTATTTATTAATTTCTTAAAAATAATATTATTGAACTATTAATAGTGAATACTTTTATTTATGTATTTAATATTAATATAATAGTCTAATAATATCATAAAAATTCCTTAAAATATATTTATTAATAATTTTTAAAATATAATATAATATAATATTTTTATTTTTATAGATATTTAATATAATTTATCATATTTTTATTTTAATAGAATATAATAGAGTTAATATTTTTATTTATAAAATTATAGAAATAATATTTTAATAATAATATTGGCATAAATAGTATTAAATAAATTATTCTAATATTTTAAAATAATAATATTAAGTTTTTATAATAAATAATATTATTTATTATATTTTATATATTTGCAATAAATAATTTCAAAAAAATTTATCAACTAGTGAAAAATGATTTACACAACATCTTCCAAACACCATAAAACATTTTCCAGAAGATGTAATTCATTTTACGGAAAACATTTTCTGAAAAATATTTTTAGTGAAACAAACTGTAATACCCCAAATTTTGGTTAGTGACCAAAATGTAACTTTTGAAGTTTGGTGGCGAAAGTATAAAACTTGGAATTTTTTTAGGGAATTAAGTGATAAATTTCCTAAAAAGAATTTTATTCCATAAATAGATGGTTTACTCTTGAGAGTGGGGTTTTATAGAAATTATATTTTTGGATTTGGAATTTTAGTAAAGAAACATTAGAAAAAGGGTAAAGCCCGGTAAGGAATCGGTAATTCAGATCGAATTGGAATTTTACAAAAAAATGAAGGATGTTAAAAAATGGTTGGAAATATTATTTTAATATTTTAGATCAGAGAAATTTGGTTTGAAAATGTGTAATTTTTCAGATTTAACCGAAACAGTAGAATTTAGTGACTTAAACACAAGGATGATGTGTTTTAGTTTTATGGTAAATAGGAAGATTCTTTAAGGGTGTTTTGGTCTTATCTTAATTAAATGTGATCTTAAGTACTTAGTTTTATTGTGTTAATTTTTTTATTATATGTTTAGTTTACAGTTTTTGTTGTAAACCCTCATTGTAATTTAAATATTTTCTATTTTTAATAAAATTAGCAGTTTCTATCAAAAACAAATATTTAAATCTAAAAAGCAAAGGATTAAATATATATAAATAGAAGTAGAAAGAGTGAATTTCAAATTTGTAAGGAATATAGGGGCTTGAAGTATATGTTAACCTATTTTTTACGGACTATTACCTAAGTCAAACCCGTCTATTAACCATCCCCGAACAAGTCGAAACAAAGTTTGTAATCAAGAAGAAGACCTAAATATTATTCTAAAGAAAAATGGAGGGAATGATTCAGGACCCATCGCAGCCGTCGTCGCAGCCACAGCCACCGCAGCAGAATCAGGCAGTGGCAGGGTCGGAGAGGCTGAATAAGGCGTTGCAACAACAGCTCAATCTGGAATCTCTAAAGACCAGAGCAATTTCCCTTTTCAAGGCCATAACTCGCATCCTTGAAGACTTCGACGCCTATTCTCGCACAAATACCACCCCCAAATGGTCCTCTCTTTTCCCATTCTTTCTATTCTAACCGTGAATCTTCAGGTTTTCATATATGTTTAGGGGTTCCCCTTTTTTGTTTGTTGGTAAAACAGGCAGGATATTTTGGGTCAATACTCAATGGTAAATCTCGAGCTTTTCAACATTGTGGATGAAATAAAAAAGGTTTCGAAGGCTTTCGTTGTTCATCCCAAAAATGTTAATGCTGAAAATGCTCCCAGTATGTTATGCTTCGAGTTTATTAGCTGTTTTCCCCCCCTTTAAATGCCTAAGTTTGGATTGGCAATAATGCCTTATCTTTATTCATAGTAATTGCTGAGTAATTAAATCCTATTCTTTGTCTGCAGTTTTACCGGTTATGTTATCCTCAAAGCTACTGCCCGAGATGGAAGTGGAAGATAATTTGAAGCGAGAGCAATTGCTTCAAGGAATGCAAAATCTGCCAATACCTTCACAAATTGACAAGTTAAAGGTGAACTAGTGTCATACAAACTTTGATTTTCTGGTTGAATCTGGTTATTTTCAGGCATGTGATTTTATTCGTTTCACAGGCTAGAATCGATATGATTGCAGCTGCCTGTGACAGTGCTGAGAAAGTATTAGCTGATACCCGCAAAGCATACTGTTTTGGCTCTCGTCAAGTGCCAGCCATTCATCCCACTCTTGATAAGGGACAGGCTGCTAAAATTCAAGAACAAGAGAACTTACTCCGTGCCGCAGTTAATTTTGGTGAAGGTGATAGTCTGTAGCTGTTAATGTAGCAACTATATTTAGACCAATCAGATGTAACAATATATCTTTCTAGTTTTTGCAGCTGCAGGCAACAAATGGTTTTCAACTGATAGTTTGAAGGGCTAATCTATGCCGTTTACTGTCTTCCTGGGCTCAAAATCTGATTGAGCTGCTCAGAATCACGGGAATTTTAATTTATGCTAAGCTGGCCCATATGGAACGCTTGTTGATTCAATTTGTTTTTCTCATTGAAATTAGGTCTAAATGTAGACAATCTATTATAGTTTCCTCATGGATAATCAAGTTCTGCCAATTGATACAGTAGTTTAATTAATTGAAATTTAATAGAATGCTGGATGAATGTTTTCTGCATTGATTTCTATGGTTAATTGAAGTTTAATGGAATTTTAAATGATCTCTTTAGAATTAGCTTCTAAGATTTGGATGTCTATTTATGTTTTAGAGAAAGCTCTAGTACTTTGATCTTAACATGCTTATCAACCAGTTATTGATTGATCTTTGTATTCAGGTCTGCGTCTGCCAGCAGATCAGAAGCAGATTACACCTTCGCTTCCACTGCATCTGGTGGATATTATGCCTGCAACTGATGGAGTGCATTCTTTTACTGATTCATCTGGTAATTTTTGTGCAACTATTTTCATTTTTTTATTCTCTTAAAATAATAGGAAGTTTCTAGCACTGTTTAGTAGCATTTTTGAAATTTCTTGCAGGCATGTATATGAAGAACTCTCCTCTTATGTCAAACAACATGGGCAGTCAAGGGTCTTTATTACAGGTTAGTCGATGAGTTTCCTTTAATAGGTCTTTTCCTAAACCTACATGCAAGTAAACCTGTAGATTTTTGTCGAACTGTAAGGTGAAAAGGATATTTGTGTTCTTGTGGTTATTGTCATCTCATTGAATATCTGATTTTGAAAGAGAAACGGTGATGTCCAAGTCTTTATGATCTCAATTTTGGACTCCCTTTGAACACATTCTGAGCTGCTATATGGTGTACATCAAATGATTGTGGGCTCCATATGTTCTCCTCATCATTCTCGTTAGATGGTACTAGGTGTAGGATAATGTAAAACATCTCATTTATGTGTAAATTTAACCATTATAGCAACAATATATGGGCATTGGCCTACTGCAAAGGCCACATTAGGATCCTTTTCTTTATTAATGCTTCATCTTCTCCGTTTATGTGTCATTCATGGGAGACAAACAAATCTGTTCTATTTTAAACATTATAATTTGATTAGACTTATCAACTGATTCTGATTCTATGACAACTGTTCTGTATCATTTCTGGTTACATGTCTTATTTTCTGAAGTTCAAAGTTCATAGTGCTGCAATACCTTTACTCTTCTAGTCTTCTCATATCAGGCTACTGGAGCACAGCTTATCAGTCGATCAGCTGCATCTCCTGCCGCTACTAGTGCTACCTCCTTTGATAACACCACAACTTCTCCCCTTCCATATGCCAACTCACCAAGGTCTGGAACGACTATGATGAACACACCATCTCCTCAGCAACAAACGCAGCAACTGCAGCAGCAGCAACACCAGCAGCAACAAAGGCAAAAAATGATGCAATTACCTCAGCATCAACAGCAACTCCTTGCTCAACAACAGTTTAGGCAGTCTGCGATGCAAGGACTGGGACAGGTATAAATATTACTTTGTTTGGTTCTTTTATTGTTTTTATGGGACATCATGACCGTTGAGTAACTCATGACACACTTACATCATGTTAGCTTATGCTGTGATTTTACTTGGTAACTGTGACTCTTTTTTGGGTTGGAAAGATTTGCAAAACTATCATGAGGTAAGGACAATATTTTTGCTGAATCTTATGAGTTTAAGCAAATTTGATCAAGTTTTCTATGTTTGTTTTGTTGAAATCTGTGTTGTTAAGTGTGCCAGGCATGCTTGAAGCACTAAGACCTCTATATAGCTTGAGGTGCAAGGTGCAAAAAGAGCCCTCACCCGACTAATATAAGGCACATTCTTATAATATATATGAGAAGTGTATATAAAAATTATGAAATAAATGCAAATAATAAATAATTGTTAGTAACGTAAAATCTTTTCTCCAAATACAGATTAGAAAAAGAGAATTACAATACACTCTACAAAGCCAAAAACAGATCTCTGTTTTTAAACACTAAAGCACACTTTAAAATCAAACATAAAGGAGAAATGGATTAAAAGAAGAAAAAAATAGATGAGTAGATAGAGATTGAGCAGTGTTGTCAAGGGTGCTGGGCGCACTCACGGCGCGAAGCCAAGTTTGGTATGAGCTTGAGTTTGACACATTCAGCTTATATGGTGAAGACAAGTTTAGGCATCAAAATGTGTGCAAGAAACCAAATTCAGGAACCAATTTAGACAAAAGTACGAGTATCAATATGAACTTTGTAGGAAGCTTCAAGTACCAAATAATTTGTTAACCCTAAATTTTAATATATTTTGTTTTATAAATTCAAATTTAATCATTATTTAAGTTTAGTAATTAAAGAAAATTATGATAAAAGTAGAGGAACACAAACTAAAAGTAGTAGAATATATAGAGAATAATAATTAAAAAAAGATTCACCCGAGTTTGAGATTTCAACATTGAAGTTTCGAATTTTGAAGTGGATTTATAATTAATAAAATAAATTTAATGGTATTTTGAGTTAAAAAAACCTAAAAGTGGGCATAATGGTATTTGAGTTTTTTTTTTGAAAAGTTAAATGTATTGGAGTATTCAAAATTTCAAATTTTAAAATAAAAAATTGAACAAGGGTTAAAAGTTGATAAGGCATTACCATTTGCCGCTTCAATGAATCTTAACTAAAAAATAGAAATAAGAAAGTGAAGAAACTTAAAAGTTTAAAAATTTATAGGACTATTATGCTTTTACCATGGAAAGTTAAACTTAAAACTTGACTTCAGTTCTGTAAAGCCACCTTTTTTATTGCCTGGTATTGAAGCGAAAGGTGGTATAATGCTCATGGAGCCGTGCGCTCAATTAAAATGGCCCCGCCTGAGAAAGTTAAAGGCGTAAGCGTCAATTTTCGCTGCGCCTTAGTGCCTAGACGGGAGCCTTAACAACACTGAGATTGAGAAAAAATGGGTAAATATAGGTAGAAGTTTTGACATTACGGTTTTTAATTTTGTTCTTAAATTTTAATCAAGTTGGTGGGTGGGATTCTAATTAGTAAAATAAACAACATTTATGGTATTTTGACATCCAAAATAAGAAAGAAGAAACTGAAGGGTCAAGCGGCGAAGCTGGCTTTTTTTGCGCCTAGAATAAAGCGCAGTAAAGCAGCTGCCTCTTTGAAATAGCCTTGTCTAGTGGCTGAAAAGTGATTTTGCTGCTTTTGGCTGCGCCTGTGGGCCTAGGTGCACCAACATCACCGGTTGAAATATAGAATCGCTTCACATGCTTCTAAGCCATCATAGTTGTGTAATAATTATGAACAATCATATCTTTGGTGCAGAATCAGCTGCCGCTTCATGACCTGCAGGGTCAGACTCAGCAGAAATTTCAATCGGTAAGTTCGTTTTCTTCCTTCATGTTTTATCTGAAATTTATGCGAAATTACAAATGCATTTTTCATATACATATATATATATATATACATATATATATATATATATATATATATATATATATATATATATATATATATATATATATATATATATATATATATATATATATATATATATTGCATTCTAGCTATGGCTCCTTTAGATAAAAACCCATATGGTTCTTTTTGTGCTTATGAATATCGTTATAGTCCATAACCTAGTAAATTTTAAGTATTTAGAGTCTGGGAAATGGGTTTGCTCCGTCGAGTCATTGGAGCGTGTTGCCTGCACTTGGATAGCTTATTTTAGACGGATGTTTAAGTAAGATCTTGCAGGGCTTGATTGCGGGCTTGTGTTTTATACAGCAGATCTGAAAACAAAAATTTTAAAAAGTGCCTCTTGCAAATATTGGCAAATTAAAAAATGGGTGGATATGTTTATTGACTAGGTTGCACAATTATTGAGCTGGTTATTTATGTTCTGTGTTTGGTTTTTAAGTTTTATGTTGTAACAGAACTTCTTAGGATGGATATGTATTATTCTGGTATTAATGAATTTTTAGGCACTCTTTTCCTCCTTCCTATGCCCTTCATGTTATTGTTGTAACATGGAGGTTAAGAAGGGGGTTTTTAACGAGGCCTATCCAATTTCTATCAAAAAAAAAAAAGGGTGGATATTTATTATATTTTACCGCTCTCGTTCAAACTTGGATATGATAAATTTATTCCTTAAATCAGCGCTACACTTGAAAGATGAATATTTATATATGGAAGTTACTGAGCAAAACTTATGGCAGTAAAAGAACCATCTGTATATTTTTGTGAAAAAAATTTGAAGATCCCTGTTTTCCCTCTTGTTTACTGAATTTATATAAATCATTGAACTTTTTCTCAGGCTTGTAGTACTTTTCAATTAATTTTCTGTATGAAGTGGAGAGGGTGGGTGTTGGCTGGGGTGGTGTTGTGTTGATGGATCTATGTGAAGTGAGCCTTTAAATGAGTGATTCTCTCATTTTCTTGGATCTAACATGGGACAATTGTTCCGAGGAAGCTTGTTTTTACCCTTCTAAAATACACCTCTTCTTCATGCTATTGGTTTAACTAAAACCTGAAACTCTTTCCATCAGTTACATGGTCAGATGCAGTTTTCCCAGCCCTTGGGTCATCAGCAATTTCAGGGTAGACAGCTTCCCCCAGGACATGTGCAGCATGGTATAGGCCAAAGCCAACTCAATCAAGGAAATCAGTTGAGTCGTCATTTAGGCCAATTCTCCAGTCCAGCAAATACTGCATTGTTCAATGCTGCTCAGGGGACACCAAGTACTCAGATGGTTAGCTATATGACTCTTCAATTTGTCCTATTATGTGTTCTTGTGTTTATTCTTCTAAAGCATTATCTATAATGTCCACTGCTCCCCCCTCTCAAAATAGAACTTATCATTGGATAGAGTTGTTCATTTGAATTAGGTTTTTGTATTCTAATGAAAAGAAAGAAATAACATGATTGATGGCACCTTTATATCGTGCTTCTCCACTTAGGAAACTTATCTGCCTAGGATTTAGGAGTTAAAGTAAAAATTCAAATGATTTTCTGTTTGTTTGTTTATTATATTATGGTTCTTTGATTTATTAACATTAATTTGTGCATTTAATTTATGTATTCAGTAATCATGGATTTGTTAACGTTCTTGAAGAGAGTGCTTTGATGGTACCTAGCTTCCTCCATAGTCATTGAACAGATAGTTACTAGGACTGAAAAAGCCTTTTAAAGTATTGATTGAAAATAAACTCAGGTATGAGGGAAGTAAGAAATAGGACTATTGACTCGGACAAAAGAAAATAGCTTCTTTGTCTCATGGTATTTCTTTTTTTTTTACCCGTAGGGTAAACTGTGATGGATGTATATGGGTGGCATTGCTGGTTGGTTAATGTTCATTTGATTTTCAAAAGGTTTTTAGCTCCAGCAAATCTAGGTGACCTAAAATATGATACCAGCTATTTTGATTTTTTTCCTGTTATGGACCTCAAAACTGGAGTTTAGCATGATATTTTATTCCTATTTTCTGGTCAATGCTTAGTGTTAATGTGGTGAAGAAGTTATCAAATAAGAAAGTGTATGCTGTTAGAGTAAGGTAAATTATAAAAAAAAATTATGCCATGTGGAAAAACGTATCATTCACTATTTTGCTGGATTTATCCACGTGGGTATATACATTGTGTTGACGTGTCAAATTTGACCCATATTTTAGTGTTGAATGATAAAAGGATGGATCTCAAAGAATGTAATATGGTTGTGCCATTATAAATATGATAGATTTAGGTCAGAAGGATGAAATGAAATATTCCTTCAAGATTATGAATTGTAGATGATACATATGCTTAAATTTCTCACCATTATATTCACAAGCGCTTCTATATTTGCTTATTTCAGCAAGGGATAACAGTTGTTTTTCTTTAATGCTTTTCAATCTTTCTTTGATCAAATGTAGCATGTTGCAAAGTGTAACATGCGAAAAAATGTTTTAATTTTGACAAATTTTCTTTAGAAAACTGTAAGTCTTTCATCTTGGTGGGTACTATGCACCTCTTTAATTCTAATGTGGTGTTTCATCTCCTGAGTACTCAATATATAGTAATAGTTGTTAAGCTATAACCTTTATGGCCACTACTCTTGTTCTTGTACAAGTGCATGAAACATGCATTTGCTGTCTTTCTTTACATTGATTATGTTATAAATTGACTACTAAAATTGTCATCCATCATTTGGAATGTTTTCTATGTTTTATCTTTTATTTACTTGTTATGGTCATTTATGTTGCACTTTCAATAATAATAAATCAAATGTATTTTATTTATCTTTGTATGGTTTCATAATGTTTATTTGTCTTCTTTTTTTATATTGAAGTTATTTCTTTCATGGTTTAAATCTTTTAATGTCTTGGTTTAGATCCCAAACATGTCTGCAACTATGTCTTCCCAGTCACTCTTACCAAGGATGCAGGTTAGTTTCTAATGGCTTTGCCGAGTTTCTTTTCCTTTGCGAGACTTCCCTTCATGCAAATCATGGTTATTGCTATTTGCTAAATTTATCTTTTCTGTAATTAATGTCGTATTTAAAAAGCTTATACCTATTTGGCCCTTGTATTGTAATGAAATTCTCAAGTTTGCCCTTTACTGTTTTTTCCTATCAACTTTCATCTCATCTATTATGTTCTTGACCATTTTTGTTAAAAAAAATGCCATGGGATCCAATTAGGAGTTGCCATGTGTAGTAAATGTTAAATTTTTTATCAAACTTTAAATAAAATCATAAAATTGTAAAAGATGCCATAAAGTTATTAAAAAAAATCAGAATTTATGTTTTTGAAATTGTTTATTTTATAAAAAATGTAATTAGTCTTAATTTATTTAAAATAATCATTTTTTTGATAAAAGTTGGAGGTCTCATTAAAAAGTCCCTTTGTTTTCGTCCACATACTAACAAGTATGTTAACGAACATTGGAAGAAAGAGAAGAGTACCACATATTTCATTAAATAAAAAACCAGTACATATGAAAACACGGAATACCCTCACGCGGGGATAGACACCATTACAAAAAACCAGAATCACCTAAAACTCTCACCTCCTCAACCACAAAGCCCCAGAGACAATCATCCTATTTCTAAGTTACACCTCTAGCAAAAGAAAAAACAACCCAACACCTAAGGACATAACAGAACAGAAAAAACAACACCTGCAACCATAAAAACGAAATCAACCTCCTCTAAAGAGAACTCCACTAAAAGAGCCATCACGATCCAAAGCCACCAAAAATATTCAGCTCCTAAAGAAATCAAAAATGGAAATCTTATGCATTACCACAAAAAGGATAAGCAAAAAAAAAAGGCACAAATTTAGTTAATTTAAGGTGTCCTTATTCTAACTGTGATTTATGTAACTAAGAAAGCCAGACAATAAAAAATAGAGGTGAAGGGCTATCAAAAGAGAGAAAATGCTTTCAAAAAGTGTACAACTAGAGGCTAATCAACAATGAGAGCGAGTGCTTTTGGTCGTTCATTCTCCGGTGAGGAATGGACTGTTTTTGTTGGAAATCTTAGTAAGAGAGTTACTAGAAGTGAGTTAAGAGAGAGTTTCAACCATTATGGTAGAATTGTGAGGGTCTTTATTCCAAATTTTATGGTTAAACCGAATTATAAGTCATCCACGTTTACTTTTGTGCAATATGCATTGGAGGAAGGTTGCAGAAGAGCAGTTCAGAATGTCAACAGAACGCTGATTGATGGGAAAAGAGTCACAATGGGGGTTGCTAAGTACAAGAGGGGAAGGAATAGAGAAGCAGAGGTAAAAATAACTCAGCTGGAAGGAATTAAGACATATAGAGAGGCTAATGGTAGACAGCAGGTTGATCTAGAGAAACCGAGTAGTTTGAGAGATGGCAGATCATATAAGGCGGTTGTGAATGTGGCTAATAGTAGGAGTTTGGACCAACAACGAAGGTGAATAGGGGATGTCAAAAGAAAGCAAATGGTGTAAGAAATGCATGGGATATGCACATCCCATCAGAAGATTTTTGCTGGGTGAAAAATTCTTTAACAGGGGTTTTTAAAGATACCTTTCGGCCTGATATGGTGATGCGAGCTTTGGCAAAAGAGGGTTTCCAGGTCAAGATAGTAAGGTGGGGATATGTTAGGAACGCCTGCATTATTATGTTCAATTCAAATGAAGTGTTTTTAAAGGCGTGGTCGAGTCTTAGAGAGAAACTTTACTGTTGGTTTGATTGGGTAGATCCATTGTGTGAAGATGGAGTTCCTTTGGCTTATTGCTTGGTCGAGTTGGTTGGTTTACCGCTTCTTAGCTGGAGTGTACCTTTTCTGGAGAAGCTTGGAGGTAAGTGGGGAAAGGTTGTTAGTATCCTGGAGGAAACAAGAAACAGAGATGATCTCTCTTCAGCTAGAATGTTGTTAAGGGTGGCAAGCCCTTTTGATGTACAAGAATCTATTTTAGTAGGATCTTATGGCAGATCGTTTAAGGTTAAAATTAATGTGGGATCCAGTTCTAATTCTATCTCTGAAGTCCATGGAGTCGCGAGGTAGAATTTGTCATGTGGCAGCTGCAGTGACGATGTGTTAAAGGGGGACGATGGTAGAAACAAAGAGAAGGAAGAAGACAATAGGGTTAACTCAGCAGAGGGATTCTGGTCAAAGGTTTACACGTGGCTTCAGAATAGTCAAAATCGGGAGATGTCAGAAGGTGGGGAACATTATTTGAAAAAGAAGTCCGACACTCTGCCCAATAATACTGGGGTGTCAGACAAGTTTGAATTTGAATTAAATCCCAGGGGGGAATATGTGGGCCTTGGGCTGAGAGAGGTTGAGGACCAGAGTCCTTCAGCCCATTTGGATTCTAATTGGGAGTCTTATTCTCCTGTTTCTAAAATTATACCAGCTGGCCCTGCTGTGAAGTTGAATCGGTCCAGGCCAGTGAATAAAAAAAAGGTGCAGAATCTGTCTGAATTAATTGAAGAAAGAAGTGTATCAATAGAAGAAGGAAAAAAGAGGGTCAGGAAGATGACAATATTGTTCTTGGTAAAATTAATCCAGCTATTCTAGTGGATACTGAGGTTGAAGGTCTTGTGGTTTGTTCGGTTAATCCTAAAGAGGGGCAGTTTCTTGCGTTACAATCTGTTGCACATGTTGGAAAAAGGATTTCGAGGGGAAGATCGCTCTTTCGAGCTAATTCTCCATCTACATCAAAGAGTGTGTCGTTGGATAGGAGAAGATCTGCTTCTTATAATAGGGTGTATAAAAGATCTAGGGAGAGAAGACATTGGTTCGGGAATGAGCCTTTTGTTTTTTCTAGAGCAGAGGAGGCTCTAGATAGGATTAAGGGAAAGGAATTGGTTCATAATTCAGCTATTCCTGTCAGTGTTCCTGTAGAATTTAATTTGGATGGTGGTGTGGAGTCTTCTGTGGAGAGGCTTTCTGATGACATTGGTTTGGCTTACTTGGGTGAAGGGTGGCTTTCAGAAGGTGATGACTATGACTTCAATTCCGAGAAATTTTTTAACAGAGTCAAAAGAGTTTTGACAAGGGAGGCCTTGGATCAAGCTAGCATTGCTACTGTTTCTTCTCCAGCTTTTTTGATCATTTTGGAGGAAGCTTTAGCTACTTGGAAAATTAGTAAGCTATTGGGGGTGTTCTTCAAGGTCGGGAAGTCGACCTTTTTGGAAAAAATTCTTAAGTTGGAGGAGGATTTGAGGAGGGCATAATTTTATGTTTTCTTCGGTTGTTGGTTTTCTTATTATTATGATTAATATTAGTTTAGCTATTATTTCTTGGAATGTTAGAGGGTTGGGAAGAAAGGAAAAACACAGAGCAGTTCAAAAGTTAGTTTTAAGTAAATGCCCTATTTTTCTTTTGCTGCAAGAAACGAAAATGGAGAAGATTCATAGTCATTTTCTGAGAAGAAGTGGTTTGAATTCCTTACAAGGGTTTGCAGAATCTCTAGCAGTGGGTTCTTCTGGAGGTTTATTGAGTTGTTGGGATGAGTCTTTGTTTGAAATGGAAAATCAAGTTATTAACAGAAGGTTCATTGCTATTTTTGGGACCTTTCGCCCTTCACAATTTAGGTGTGGTTTTATTAATGTTTATGGTCCTTCTATTGAAGAAGAAAAGCTACTTTCTTTGAAGAGCTAGTCGTTTTTATTTGTGGTCATAGTATCCCTCTATGTGTGGGAGGTGATTTTAATGTATACCTTTCTGAAGAAGAGAAGGTTGGGAGGCCCAAAATTACAATTCTGAGGATTTTTAGTCACTTTCTTCATCAGACAGGTTTAATTGACTTACCTCTTCATGGGGGGAGGTTCACATGGTGTAACAATCAGGAAATTTCCACTTTTGTTGGACTTGACATGTTCCTACTTGATGTCCATTTCTTGGAAGCGTTTCCTGATTCTTCACAGTTATTGTTACCCAAGTCCGTTTCAGATCACAATGCCATTTTCCTTGAGAATGGCGGAGTTAACTGGGGCAAGGGCTTTTCAATTATTTGATGGATGATAAAGGGTTCAACAATTTAGTTGGTTCTGCTGTCCTGGACAGCAAGAATAAAAATAACAGAGCTGGTATTTTTTCAATTCTGAGGAAAACGAAAATGGCAATTAAGGAATGGGCGGGGATTAGACATCAATTTCCAGCTGTGTAAATTGCTGATTTGGAATCAAATATTCACTTGGCAGAGGTTAATTTACAGTTAATGCAGGATTCGAATGGTACTGTTATTCCAGCAGACTTGAAAGCTATGAGATTAGAATTATGGAGGCTTTACAAAATCGAAGAACATATATGGCTTCAAAACTCGAGATCTAAGTGGGTGGTAGAAGGAGATTGTAATACAAGATATTTTCACGCTTGTGCTTCAGTTAGGAGGAAGCGGAATTTCATGAGTGCACTCAATGTTAATGGTGAGATTATCCAAAATCCGACTATTATCAAAGCTACTGTCAAGGACCACTTTTTTGGACTTTTTAACACTAGCTCGACATTGGAAGTTGAAGATTTGAAATTGAATTTTTCCAGAATTTCAATGGAACAAAGTATGTTTCTGGAAAAAGAATTTTCTGAGGAAGAAATTTGGGAGACCTTACAATCTTGTGATAGCAACAAAGCTCCCGGTCCCGATGGTTTAAATATGGGCTTCTTTAAGAGATTTTGGACTGTTCTTAAGGTCAATATTCTGAAATTTTTCCATAATTTTTATTCGGAGAAAGATTGGGAGCATGGAGTAAATCATACTTTCATTACTCTTATTCCCAAGGTGTTTAATATTGGTGGTTTGGACGACTTTAGACCAATAAGCCGTTTTGGAGGGCTGTACAAGATCCTGTCTAAATGTCTGTCGAGAAGGTTAAGGAATTGTATTTCTGATTTGATAAGTCCTACGCAGTTTGCTTTCATTCCAGGACGTCAAATTATGGAGTGCTCTCTTATAGCTAATGAGG